ACATATTTAATTAAGAGAACGCAAAAAGTTGTCATTAATAGTATGAACACTTCCGGGTCGATGGTACAAATGTGCGTGCCTCAAGGTTCAATTCTCGGCCCCTTTCTGTTTCTTGTGTACATTAATGACTTCCGTTACATAGTGGGGGATAACCATGATATAGTATTATTTACAGATGACACTTCCTTAATTTTCAAATTAAGTCGACAATTACTAAAATATGACTAAGTAAGTAATGCTAAATTAGTAGATTGGTTCAATGTTAATAATTTGCATTTAAATTGCACTAAAACTAAATGTATGAAATTCGTGACTCCAAATGTCAAACAATTAAATACTAATGTAATTTTAAATGGGGAGAAACTGAGTCTTGTAGATACCAACATTTTTTTGGAATCACAATAGACGCGAAGCTTCAATGGAGCCCCCATATATCAAAACTAACAAGCAGACTTATTTCTGCAGCATATGCTGTAAAAATGATTAGAAGTCTTACCAGTGTTGAAAAAGCTAGCCTAGTTTGCTTTAGCTATTTCCATAGCATAATGTCGTATGGTATTTTACTATGGGGACACGCAGCTGACACTGAAATTATATTTGTTTTACAGAAGAGGGTCATAAGAGCAATTTATAATTTAAAACCTAAGGAGTCACTGCGACAAATGTTTAAGGAAATTAATATATTAACTTTGGCCTCTGAATACATTTATGAAAATGTAACTTACGTACACAAAAATAAAAGTAGTTTTACAAAAATACGTGATATTCATTCTGTAAATACTAGGAACAGACACAAACTAGTAGTACCAGTTACTCGACTCTATCGAGTCAGTAATTCATTCTTTATTTATTTATTTTTATTCATTTAAAAAGGTACACCAACAGTACATGTATACATATTATAAAAGTTACATTTTTAAAGCACAATTACTTATACATATACCTATTATAGGCGTACACAACATTGATAGGAGATATTAAATAACAACACAATATATATCTTTATACGTGGTAGAGCCATGCTGCATCTGTATTATGGTTGTAGCACGAATGGGTCGGCTCGACCGGGGAAGGACCACGCTCTCACAGAATACCAGCGTAAAATAGCAGCTTAACGCTGCTGTGTTTCGTATGGTGAGTGTAGAGAACCGGAGACCCTTTTTACTGGAAACGAGGCATTCCATCTTAGTCCTCACGGGTGACAACGCATCTGCATTTTGACTCGTAATCGAAGATAGATGTAGATGTCTATGGGCCACAGCGACCACTTACCATTAGGTGGACTGTGTGCTCGTTTGTCACCCTTATCCTATAAAAAAAAAAAAAAAAATATCTGAAAATTTTAAAACAATGAAATAATAAAATTCACCAAAGCAAAACTTAACTGAAAACAAATACGTGTTCACAAAAGGCCGGCCAGTTTTCGTTTAAATTTAAACAACGAGTCGTGGAAAATGTCTAAGGTTTCAATATTCATCTCGTTGTACTGTGCGCAACATCTGGCAAGAGGAGAATGGCGTCCAAGGTTAGTCCTTACAGAAGGCAAGGCAAAAGTTTTTTTGATAGGATGTCGGGGCATGCGAGCTGGCACCGTCAATTTAACACGTACCAGGAGTTCACTACATTTTATTTTACCGTTGACAAGTCCGTGCTAAAACACCAAATCCTGGTCTCTTCAAATTCTTGGGGCGATGTATACGCTTTTACAACAAAATTCCAGAAAATATACAAAATTTGACCTGCTCAAAGTTCAAAATCTTTATTAAACTAAGTTTGAATAAAAAGGGTTATTATAATATTAAAGAATTTATGGATGATAATAACCCCTGGAAATGAGGTGATCTCTACCAAGCTATTTCTAATTTGTTGTGTTGTTAATTTGTGTAACGTACATGATTGTAAGCTGTTATTTAAAAAAAAAGTCCCGCTAGGTTTCTTGCTAGTTCTTTCCAGACAGAGGTTTTTTTTTCGAACCAGTGGTAATTAAACAAAAGAGTGACTTTCAATAAGAATTATTTATAATCTATATTGAATAAAAAAGTTTCTGTTTCTGTTTCTGGTATTAATATTTGGGTTGGCATAGTAGGTGAAGAATTTTATAAAGTGACTATTCAGAAAATATTGAGATTGCGATATTCCTTATTTCACTCAAAAAAGTAAACAATAACTTTTAATATTTACCTATATAATATATACAAAAATACAATAAAAAGTAACACATGCTAACGACTGTGGAGCGCGGCAATTATGGTAAATATCCCCTAACAAAAATGTATGTCTATGAGCCACAACATGCACATACGATCAGGTGGAATGTGTGCTCGCTTGTCACTCTTATTCAATAAAAAAAAAACGAATAACTTATATTACATAAAAACATAATATATAACAATATATAAAATAAAGAGCCTCATATTACTTCAATAGAAAATAAATGATCACAATGATAGCCAAAATATCCTTTTATGAGTAATTCAAACAATGTTCAAGACACTGGTGTCCTTCGAAATATTGTAGGTTCACGATTCGCACGCTTATACTACTAAACTCGAAAAACAAATATAACAACAAGATAAAGTCATTACTTGCAGCCTTGTGGCGGGGTGTGCAAATAAATGGTTGTTCTATTGTTCTGTTTTATTACTTGGTTAAGATAAGTTAAGACCAAAGATATTAAATTATTTATGGAGGATCACTTCAATTTCTTTGTCATTCAACAAACTATAACTACTTAACTTCAAATTTAATTTTTGTAGCAACCGTACTCTGCGCAGAGTTACGAGATTAACATTATTGTTGTGAGAGTGGAAATTAATTTATTTTTATTAAATTATGTTATAAAATTGTGTTATTAGTGAGTTATCTGACGGTTTTATTATAAAATGTGTTTATTGATAGTCTCGCGTTTAAGGAAGAGTGTTTGGAGTCCCTTAGCCGCGGTGCTAAAACTTTGCGAAATATGGCAATTACTATCAAACACATACATTACATTTCAGTATGTTTTTTTTTTCACGGTACTTTTTTATTGAAATAGACCTTAGTTTACATCTGAGACTACATACTATGTTTTGTAATAAGACGGGAAGCTTAGTTTCTCTATTCCATAATACATGGCTGTGAATAGCATGTGTGTATAGCTGATCAATGTCAATGTCAGTCAGTGTTAAAAGGTTGGTCAGTGAAATTAAACCTATGTTATTATATATAAACAAGCTGATGTTTTGTATGAAGCTTTCACTTAAGTATATTTGCGATGAATTTCTAACACAATATTGATTTCTGCAGAATACAAATTCATTTACACTTGCGGGTTGCACGCTATATAAGTTTAAATCACTTTATAATATAAACGAGAGTTTTATCTTAGGTCTCAGAGGTGATAATGCATCTGCATATTTGTTCCTAATCGAAGATTGATGTAGACATCTATAGGCAACGGCATCCACTTTACCTTTACTTCTATAAAAAATTGAAACAAGTTCATTTACTTTAAAGGGAGACTATGGATTTATCGTTTAATCGCCTTTATAGCATAACAGAGCCGTGGTAGGTCAGATGGTTAACGCTCGCTGTAAGCGTCACAGTACTCGAGCAAGCCGGGTTCGATCCCCGCCGGCACCAATGAAATTGTTAATTACAATTTTAAGTGCTGATTTACCACGTGCTCGGCGGGGAAGGAAAACATCATAAGGAAACCTGCATGTCTGAGAAATAACAAAAAAATATTTCGAAGACATGTGAAGTTCGCCAACACGCATTGTGACAGCGCCGCGGAAATTTCCTTGCCCTAAAACACTCTCAGAAATGAGAGAAGGCCTGTGCCCAGCAGTGGGACGTAAATAGGCTGCAACTTTTCTTTTTAACTTTTATAGCATAACACCTAGTCCTATCAACTTTTACTCGGCGGCAGGGATTCTTTTCTATCTAGGAGTCCGTTTGGGTCTTACCTACTTCTACCACCAAAAAGCAGTGCATGCACTGCTGTGTTCAGCTCCTCGGAGGTGAGTACGCATCACAAGCCAGTCATTTTAAGTTTTTGTGATCTCCTTGGGCGGATGCAGCCCCTTACCATAAGGTTCTCACTTAAATTTTATTTAAATAAAGATCAATAAAATACCCTAAGAAAATATGTATCGAAAAAACAGCTATGGTGATCATAATTACACATTTTGTTTCAGATCAATACATAATATTGTTTTATTAAAATCTAACTAAATACAATAAATGTGACACGACACATTAAAAAAAAATTAGGTGTAAATTAGGTGTTTTTAACACACCATATTTTTGATGACTATCATAAAAAAATATGATATTTCAGTTTAATTATCTGATACACCATATTAGTAGAATGAGTGTAATAGAAAATATTGAAAAATGAATTTAAAACTCAAGTTCTTAAATACACACTGCAGAAATCACAGTATTCCGCCGATTAGATATGTAAACGTAAACAAGACAACATTAACTGGCCTCAAGTGGCAACAACACCGCTAATCTAAGGTTGGTACTTATAGCAGGTGGAGTCAGCATTTGTAGGTAAACACAAATTGTTGGTTTTCGTATCTCAATCATATTCTCAATTTATTATTTATTATACATACCTCAATTTCGTATTCAATTCTGATTACCTACATTGCAATTATTGTCCTTGTGTCTCCCACATTGTATCGTAGCCAACGTACCACTTTACCACATAAACAAGCCGAGGTAGATTAGTACATAGATTACCTCTGTTTGCGCTTTGGAACTATAATATCTACCGCGCGTTTCAATACTAACCTCACTTTCATACGGTCCATAATGTAGAATCTTTCTATGTATATTTAATTAAATATGTCAGGCTGAAAAACCTTGCTTTCACCAAGTGACAACAAGTGTACAGAGTATGGGTAAAATCTTATAAGGTTTGCCTATATTTGTTTTAACGCTGCTATGTAAGGAAAAACAAACTAGATTTTGAATGCATAATATATTGATTATATTTTATAATTTATTTTCTAAAATGGATATATGCTTCCAGTTTCCAGTCGGTACAGCCCCGATCTGTAAATTAAAAAAGAAATACTGAATTAACTTTAACAAGTAATTGAATGATGGTAAACTTCTTTTCCCTTTAATTATTTATAAATTTAATTAATTGAAAATAAAGCCAACACCCCTCTCCCCTCGCAGAAGGACAGAGACAGAAACATTAGGTCCCCTAGGTGCCGTAAGTAACGACTATAGGAAATACCAGATTTTTTGTGGATTGACAAAAATACTGAGACTGACGGCGGGGAGTAGGGTGAAATGTGCGAGCCGTTTTGAATTGCGATCATCAATCCACCTACTAAGCGCGACGATAATGACCCGGCGCCCAGGGGCGGAACGGCTCTGCAAGGAATTTTTAGGTGGCCAATAGTAATATAACTTAATATTGTGACATAAAAGTTAAAACTTTAATAATGATAGTCGTTGCTATATAAATAACACTGCGGTAAGCTTATGGATGCCGTGTCATTGGCAGCCAAGGAAATGCCTCGACAGTCCTCCTGATACTTCCCCCACGAACGAGTTCCCGCGGATGTGTGCGAAAGTGTTCCCGTGGTACTGTAAATATGCGACGAAGGTGGAACACCATGTGGCTTTAGTCGGTGTGAGTCACGACCTTTTAAAAAGGAGTACTCTTTTTTCTGTTAGGTTGCGATGTGTGATGGTGAAATTGTGCGCCTGGAATTAGTCAAAACAATTCCTCAGAGCAAACCCTGTGGTAAATGCGATAAAATACGCAAAGAGATGCAACATCTCTTCGCAGTGCACTGCGAACAGCTTTACGCTGGATGCGATCAAATGGAAGGAGCTGGCACTGGGGAGCCCCAGCCCAGAGATGGGAACAGTATTCCATGTGCGGCCGAACCTGCGCCTTGTAAAGATTCAGGTAGTGTACCGGCATGAAATACTGTCCCGCTCTGCTGAGCACGTGAAGCTTTCTAAAGGCCAATTTGGTCTTCTCTTAAAAATGACCATGAAACTGCACGTCACCCGATATGTCGACACCGAGGACTCCGATTTTTCCGAGAAATATTGGCACGGCCGGTGTGTAAAGCATCACCAGTGCCGTCACCCGCATAGCAATGAATGTTACCGGTTTACAACATGTCAACAGATATAACAAACAGATTTTTTCTAATTCAGTTAACTGAAAGAATGCTTCAAGATCACTCGTGTCACCTATCTGAACTTTCCATTTTAATTATAGCCCTATAATTTTATTATCATTAAACATTTTTTATATTTAAGTCAGTGAATGCTCAATGTTACGTATCGAAAATGGTGGTTGAAAAAATAATGAACGTTCCGTGACTTTTAACCATTTATAAAATTTATAGCAACACCTCAAAGTGTTACTTACATACATTAGCCTAGCCGTACGTTCCTTAAATCCCTTCTACCTATCCGTTTTAAGTCTTTGTTAGACGTCTAACGGGTAACTTTTTATAGTAACGGTTTTTGCATATACTTCGTACCTAATTGTACTGACCGTACGAAAAACGCAACGTTCCTGGATTATATTAAGCAGGCATAAGGATATATAAAAACAACAACAGCAATCTGTTGTTGTATTATTACATAAACATTAAGTACAAATATAAAGTAAAGAAATATCTGTACTTACCCTCTCTTGTTTATGTTTCCATTACCCATTTCAAATAACTTTCCTTGACAAGTGTTTGATGAAATCTCTTCTATTGACAAACATTCTCTCCCCACTAAATGATTGTAGGTAACTGTAGCAGCAAATAGTTCCCAGGATCGATTGTGATTGCAAACAGTTGAGGAACAACCTGGCTGTGAACTTCCTCCATTAGGGTAAAAATCTGCATCACCTATAGCCATATTCACTCTTGAGTCCCCACCATTAGTATGAATCACTTCAACGTATATGCCGTCATTTTTGTTTAATCGGTTTTTGTTGAAATACCAAATAGGACTAATTGGATCCAAACCTGGAAAATTGACATTTTATAATTGCCGTATAAAATATCACTAAGAGCCTAGATTTGATCTAAATAAAAATTGTTGGTTTCTGGATCTGAATGTGTTGTGTGACGGAGTTGATAATTCTTCTTTTATTTGAAATCATCGTCCTATACACAGTGTTACTCATTTCTAATACATGAAAAAAAGCCGTTTTGTTCTAATTAAATAAAATTCTGGAGCTGTATTAAATTAGATTAAAATACTACTAGAAATTTATCTGTTATAAAAATTCTAACATTTTAATCTAGGAATCGCTTACATATTATAATTGATTTTATTAGCAGTAAGAAAATTTCCTCCTCTAAATTGCAATGAAAAACGAGTACGATATATATGTAGATAAGCCATTTGATTTCAAAATGGATTACTAGATGGTAGACAATGTACGTATATGTTTCAAGTACATATTTGTCTTCTAGCTAACTATTAAGATGTAGTTGTCAAATAGTAGGCATGTGAATAGTGAAAACACATAAAAATTATTTTGGTAAAGATGTAAATATTTTCTCCTACCACTGAATCCTTTGTTGTTGTATAAATTTTGAATACAGTAGAGCCTTTGGTTCGTCTTCAGTAAGCTATACTTATTTTAAAATAATGTTTATTGAAATTTGTAAAATCGAGTTTTCTGCAATATGTTTGCGTAAATATAATTATGAGTATTTTAACACTGTAATACGTCCGGACAATCGGTAATTTATGAAGGATACGAAACTTGTATTCATAATATCTTGATACAAACAAGCAACCCGCTCCGGGTTCGCCTGAATAGGATCTATTAATATATCAATTTTTCATTTAAATAATTTAATATTTAAAATTTTATACAACCGACTTCAAAATAAATTATTAAGAATAACTCAAAAACTATTGGTCAAACCTTGATCAAATTTATTTGGGACCACATGTGAAGCACTAGCTTTCAAATAAAAAGTATCATCAAAATACGTTTACCCAGAAAAAACTATGAGGTAACACACATAAAAAAGAAAAAAACATACAGTTGAAATTTGTACCGTCTCCTTTTTGAAGTCGGTAGAAAATGTGCAAGATTTTCGGATAAATTCAGCCGAGCTCTCTACTTGTTCGTTAAGTTTTCGCCCGGATAGATAAGAAGACAGAAAAAATAATTAAAAATGGTTATTTTACTTCTTATTAACATGTATGCAAATAACCCCTAAGCTAAAGAAAAGCCAGTTATTTCAATTTTATAGACAGACACTTCAATTTTATTGATATGTATGGATATATTGCAATATTAAAGTCATTTATGTCTTTGCAATTTAAATACATACATAGAATATTTGTATTTATAAATAATTTGATACCCCTAAATAAAAAATTGACTTAAAATTTGAAGAAATTTTGTTTTAAATAAGTTGTTTTTTGTAAATCCATAATAGTAGTACCGAGATCTAGCTGATTAGGTTTGAAGTTTCGATTTGTTATCCAATATTGCTATATCATAATCAGGTTCACGTCAGCTACAAGTGATATAATTGTTGTACGTCTAATATTTATGATAATGCTCTTCAGCAGTACGTCCATTTCAAATCAAAATAATTTTTGTTTGGCTTAGAATGCTAACTACAAATTAATTTTATTTTAAAAACATGGAATTCTTTTTGAAAATATACATAATTATATAGAGATATTAGATACTAGCGGTAGATAAAAAGAGGAAAACAATCCAAAATTAATGATCCTAAACTCAAGACTTCTGATAGATAGCAGCATTCCCACTATGATGGATAGTATGGAATTTATAGAATCAACCTGGCTTAATGAAATAAGTTGAAGAGGTATAAGGAAACAATTACATACTAGATTTAAAATTCATGCAAGTTGTTACACGTGGCTCCTTAAATTACTGTACTTATAGATGACTATATTTTTGAGGCATCAATGATAGTTAGTTAGTAATATGTACTCGGTTAGCTAAAATTCTTGTTTCGAGCGAAAATAAAGCCCGCAAACTTCCATTCACAACACCTTTTTAACCAATGCGCTGCCGAGCCTTCAATGTTTATAATTTTTCGTAAGAAAAATAATTACCAGTAACACGCGCAATTCTTCCATTCTGCTCCCTGCCAGCATTTCCAACAACATGAGACCCCAAGCTAAAGCCAACTAAATGCATGGAATCGAATGAAACCCCAGTAACTTTGTTCAGAAAAGATAAGAATTGTCCTAAATTTTGACCGACTTTAGGTATTTCTGCAATGGCACTAAAGTATCCTCCCATTGAAACTCGGCTCCAGTCCAAAATTATGACATTGTAATCGCCATTTTCGAGGAACGCTAAAATATGAATTTATAAATTAAATTTGAAATTAAACCATACTTAAGAACTAAAATGTCTACTAAAATCATACACATAGGTAATATATAATTATATAATATATTATTCAATGTACTAATAAATAACATGCAGTAAGTCGATGGATGCAGATGGTTTAAGACTGTGCTTTGTGGCAATTCTTGAGGGAGAGGTTCAACAGTGGACTTGTGAAGGACTGTAATAAAATAATGAATGGATATTAAAATATAATAATAATCATCATTACAGCCCTTCACAAGTTTACTATTGAACATAGGCCTCCTCCAAGCAATGTAACAGGAATAAGCGGTCCTGATCCACCTGCATTCATCGACTTCTCTATATACTGCATCTCTTTCCGGTCGTCACTCCATCTTGTACGAGGTATCGGTACCGGTACGAGGTGTTGGTTCTTTGAGCTCATCCGGCCCATCGCCACTTTAGCTTATTGACCCGTTTGAAGGGTAGGTAGGTATTATATAATTTAATAAATACTATTCATTCTGTTTTCTCCTATTATTATCAATTTATCAACTCATTGTTGGACATTGGGTCTCACTCATAGTTGCCTTAATTGACGGAGTCTTTAGGTGCATCGGAGATGGCAGTGCTATATCGCACCTTTAATGTTGCTTTGTTTAAACATGTTACATAGGCATATATAAAAGCAAGATGGTTAGCGTTTTCACAGACCATTGATCTTACGAACATTTCCCTTAAATGACACTTACGAACATAGAAAGAGATCTAATAATAATAATGTATTCTTTAGTGTTTTATTCTATATCTATATCTATTACTAATAATATATCGTTTATTTCGCAGTTTTACCATTTCTAATAACAGGATTCATATTTGTGTTCTGATTGCCGAGCCAGCCATGAGCTACTACAACGGTTGGAATGTTAGGATTAAAATTAGATGAAGTAATTGTATCAACATCACCCATTACGAGAACCTGGGAAGAAGTTGGATTCCACCTGAAAATATATATGAATATATATAAAAAATATCATTTATCCTTGTTTTACATGTATTTGTAAAGTTATTTGCAAATAACGTGGCGCATATACTTAATTAATGATTGGAACCTGGGCGATAGAGCTTTGTTCTATACGACATATTTTTATTTCAGTGATGATTTTATATGTATTTAGATTAACACCGTGTTTCTATTTCTGTATAGCTTATGCCGTATTTATTTAAAATAGCGCAATTAAAGTATTATATTTTAAATCTACCTTTATGCCCGGAATACACAGATTTGTAATTAGTATGTTCTACTTTCTTTTATATCTTACTAACCTTGTAAACAGTAGATATCGATTGGTATCTTTTGCATCCATTTCCTTAAATGAATTAGCATTAACCGATTCGTCCAAGTTGAAGTGTAATTTGTCATTTTCATATATTCTTTGAAGAGACAGCAGGTTTGCTGGTATCGCAACTGCAACGTAAACTGTAAATAAAATAAAATAAAAAGCGTACATTTTAGTTCATGAGTAATAATAGTTAGTTTAATTTATAGAATAGATACCAAAAACTTGAACTGATATTTTTTATGTGAGTGACTGAGGTCTTTTTTATAAAATTGAAGTGACAAATAACCTAACAGTCCACCTCATGGTAAGTGGCTACAGCAGTCCATGGACACTTGCAGACAAATAAAGTTACAGTTGTCACTTCTGAAGACTAAGGTGGAATCCCTCACAGCCTGTAATTAGACGTGGTTATGCAAAAGTGATCTAATCCACAACAGGCTACTTTTGAAATATTGAAATTTGAAGTCTTCTAGAAGTAGTTTCTTAGTGTGAGACCTTTTTGTTAATAAAAAAATCTTGTATTAGATTTAGTGATAATGACTTCCTTTCTCTCTATTGACTAACATTATGTTAGAATTTCTTTTATTCTCTAAAAGAATAGATCTTAAGGGTTATTTTTGAACACATAACTCATTTTTAACATGAATGTGGGTTGGATCTTTTTTGCGTAACTACGTCCAATTATACCCGCTCTCTATACCCTTCAGACTGTAACAAAGCAGTGCAAGCACGATTATTTAGCCGTGGTTATAGGTAAGACATTCCATCTTAGTCCTCAAGAGTGATTAAAATCAGATGTTATTAAATTTTTTTTTGTAGGATAGGGTGACAAACGAGCACACAGTTCACCTGATGGTAAGTGGTTGCTGTGGCCCATAGACATCTACATCTATCCTCGTTTGCGAATCAAAATGCAGATGCGTTGTCACCCGTGAGGACTAAGATGGAATGCCTCTTTTCCAGTAAAAAGGGTCTCCGGTTCTCTACGCTCACCATACGAAACACAGCAGTCTTAAACTGCTCTATTTCACGTTGGTATTCCGTGAGAGCGTAGTCCTTCCCCGGTCGAGCCGACCCATTCGTGCTACAACTATACTACTAATATAGCTGCAGCGTGGTTCTACTACGTATAAAACTAGCAATTTCTGAAACAATCTTAATAAAGAGCAATTACAACCAAACCAAGTATGATAAAACTAAAATAAAAAGAAACGTAAACAAGCTATTTTAATTAATGCACGTATTTTAAATCGTAGTTAATATTACTTTATAAATGGAACATAAGTATGAAGTTCTTTAAAAAAAAGATTTCACATACAATCTAAGTCGCAAATAGATTGCAATATTGTATTCAAACCTTGTTTATTTTTTTCACATTATTTCCACACGTCCCGTGTTGACTGAAACAGGACGCTAAGTCACAAAATCCACCCTTTGTAATTATTTTTATTGAGGTGTTTTATACAATAATATATATACATACATATATATATATATATATATATATATATATATATATATATATAATTTAATACTATATTTGAAATCCTAATACACGGTCTTTGTTGCCGTACTGGTGACGGCAAAAGATAATTCACATCATCCCCAGTGAACGCAAACATTCACTGATCAACCCATTAACCCATTATACCTGCTAAAAGTGGCTATTAGGGAAAAACCTTTTATGTAGAAGAGGCCTTTAACCGCCAGTGAAATGTTACCAGCTGTTAATGATGGCTCATTCAAATAGCATTAATCACTCTTATTACATTAAAATACAATAAAAAGTCGTGTCCATTGTTTTGTTAACTTTGCCATAATATTACCAAAACAATGACCATAAAAACAATATAATGTAATTGTTTATTGCATATTATTTGTTCAAAACATTTACTCTTATATTACCAAAATTTTTAGTTTGTTAGTGTTATACCTATATTTCGGTTAATATATTGGAAAAGTAAATAATGAAAGTTTTAGAAGTATCTAATGTCATATTCCTATTAAATATACGTATTATTTCAAGTACACAACTTGTGCAGTAATTTATTAGTTTAAATTAATACTTTGTGCAAGTAAATGAGTTTTTTTTTTCAAAGACATCTACACCTATTTACCACCATTACGAATCAAAATGCAGATGCGTTGTCACCCGTGAAGACCAAGATGGAATGCCTCGTTTCCAGTAAAAAAGGTCTTGAGTTCTCTACACTCACCATACGAAACACAGCAGCGTTAAGCTGTTTTACGCTGGTATTCTGTGATATTATATATATATATATATATCCTTTATTATGCATTCAATCAATAAAAACAATATATAATTTTCTAGACGCGAAGCTTCAATGAGGCTCCCATATATCTAAACTAGCAAGCAGACTTAGTTCTACAGCGCATGCCGTAAAACTGATTATACATCTTACCAACATTGATACAGCAGGACTAGGTTATTTCAGCTAATTATATAATATAACGTCGTATGATTTATTGCTATAAGAAAACGGGACTAATGTTGAATTAACATTTATTTTATATCATATAGCCATAGAGGTCCATAAGAGCAATATACGATTTATTACCTAAAGAGTCCCGAAAACAAAAATAAATTAATATTTGACAAAATGTTATGTATGTAACAGAAAAATAAGTAATTAAAAATATATTTATTATGTAAATACTAGAAACACACACAAGCTAGTGATACCAATTATTAGAATCCACATAATTAGTAACTATTTCTTAGTTCAATGTATTTACGCTTTTACAAAAAAATTTCAGAAAATATACAATGTGTCTACTGCCAAGATCAAAATTTATATAATATTAAGGAATTAATGGAAGACTTGATAATTTTTTACATATATATAATTTATATACGTAATTGTGCAATATAACCCGTGATTGAAAACTTTTATTTTATATTTAAATTATCCCGTTGGGTCCTTGCGGTTTCTTCAACGGACAGTTTTTCCGATTCTGTGGTAATTTTTTTATAGGATAAGGGTGACAAACGAGCACACAGTACACCTGATGGTAAGTGGTTACTGTGGCCCATAGACATCTACATCTATCTTCGATTACGAATCAAAGTGCAGATGCGTTGTCACCCGTGAGGACTAAGATGGAATGCCTCGTTTCCAGTAAAAAGGGTCTCCGGTTCTCTACATTCAACATACGAAACACAGCAGCGTTAAGCTGCTATTTTACGCTGGTTTTCTGTGAGACAGTGGTCCTTCCCCGGTCGAGCCGACCCATTCGTGTTACAACTATAATACTAATAGCTACAGCATGGCTCTACCGCGTATAAAAAAAAATTAAACACATGAATGACTTTCCATGAGTATAATTTATAATATATTGATTAAAAATATATTTTAATTTCTGTTATAATGTTACTTTAGATATTGTATATTATAATGATTTTTTTTAAACCGTTTAAATTCTATTCCATAAAATCGGTGTATCTACACCACATAACCAAGTCATTTATAAATTACATATGATGTAAAGTACATAGAAGGTATATAAAATCGTTTGAAATGAATAGTATATGTTAAAAAATTGCTGTGTCTGCTTACCAAACAAGCTAAACGATATTAATAACTTCATCATTTTTCAAGCGTGGTGAGTCCAAGGTGGTTAAATTATAAATGCGGCCTTTTTTCCTTTTTTAAAACATTAGATAGTTCATAGATTTCAGATATAAATTTTAATAAGCCGCTAAATTTTTAGGCTGTTAATACACCTATTCGATAAACGGGACGTTATTTAAAGAAACAATTATTTGTGTGCATACTTTTTTTACAATTTTCTACCACTTCCTTATTTAAAAAGAATTTTAATTCGATAATTGATTTTACGTATTCGTAACTTATATTTCATAAAAAGCTCTCAAAATAGGTACAATAAATAACTATGTTGATGTAGAACTTTAAGTAGTTTTGGGTTCTGATATACACCGCGAGCAATGCTCAGTGCTCTCACTGGTGAAAAGTTCGTTCCAAATGATTTTTATTATTATTTATTAATATTGTTATTCAAATAAACAGGGACATTGAGTTTTAAAAGCAACAAAATTCAAATAATATTTTTTCTTGTTGAACAGAAAACGTGTACATGATAAATATTTTCATTTGAAATCAGTGTCGAAAAATGGGGATGACAGTTCCGACTTACGGACAGACTGAGTTCCGTTTTAAACAGTAACCAGTATAGCAAACTAAAAAGGAACGGTATACTGAGTTGTCATCACAGTATACTAAGTTGACGTTACACCGTACAGTGGTCACAGTGTATATCGGAACACACCCATAATAAATAAAGTAAGGTTATTCTAAATCCGATGTGGCGGACGTCACAAAATGGCGATTTATAATTTTCATAGTAACCCCTATGATATGGGTATCCAATGAAAGGGCTTGATGAGCGATACATAATAAGATATGTGACATCATTCTAAATCCAATATGGCGGACGTCTAATATAACAATTCAACATTATTATGACATAAAGCAGACCTGATGATGTAGCTGGAATGTAGCCATGGCTAAAATAGGCAGAGAACAAAATGGCCGCCATACCAGTTTTAAAGAGTTACAGCTCCGCAACGGTTATATAATAAGTAAGTTATATAATATATATGGAGTAGGCTCTTTTCTTGAAGAACTCTAAGTCCTATCGGTCCGGAAAAATCGCTGGTGGTAAACTATTCCACAAGGAAGCTGTGCGAGGAAGAAAACATCTTCTAAATCGCACAGTGGTGGACCGCCAATCATCCAGATGGTGTGGATGGTATCGGGAGTTCTGCCGCGATGTGCGTTCGTGAAATTTGGCGGCTCGGATTAATCCGAACAATTCCTCAGGGCACTCCCCGTGGTAAATGCGAAAGAAAATGCAAAGAGATGCAACATCTCTTCGCAGCGCCAATGAGTCGAGCCGATCGGAAAGGACTCGGTCGTCGACGACTTGAGCCGCTCTGCGCTGGATGCGGTCAAGGGTAAGGAGCTGGCACTGGGGAGCCCCAGCCAAGAGATGGGAACAGTATTCCATGTGAGGCCGAAACTGCGCCTTGTAAAGTTGCATGTGTTGTGCCGGCATGAAATACTGTCCCGCTCTGCTGAGCACGCCAAGCTTTTGAGAGGCCAATTTGGCCTTCTCTTCCAAGTGAT